ATGCTCCCTCATCATAGGCCTGCAATGCGTGCAGAGAGCTTTATTGCTTTGATGAAGTTTTTTTTCTTTTCTTGTAAATCTGGCAAAATAAAATGATTGGTTGGTTTTTGTTGTGGTCAACTAGTATACAATTCCTGTCTGCTTTGTTAAAAAGAAAATTACCTGCTAAGCCACTCTGTGTGTCTATGCCCTCTAGCTTCTTCCAAGCGTTCAGTTGTTTGGTTGCAGCACGAAAAACGGCCAGAGAAGAAAGTAGGGGAGTAGTGCAGGGAGAGAAATTTTATCGCCACACTTCTCCCCTATTTTTCACTTGCCATTTTCTGCGCTGGCCCCAACTAACTGAATGCCTGGAAGAGGCTACATGCATCAATTAAGCCTCTAACACAGAAAACACATACAAATACGAGATGATTAGCATTGACATAAAATTATTTCTTTGCCTACTTCTACAGGAAGTTTGCCCATGGAAATCAATGTAGAAAGTGTTACTACCAGAAACCCACAGAACCATTCTAAGAGACAACAGGAGTTTCCACAAATTATGAGGAAAATAGCTATGGATTATCTTGAAACCAATGACATTTCCACACAAGAAGAGCTGAAAGCCTTCTCTTCTTTTTTATTAGGGGCTTTTACCGGTCTGCACTTAAAACTGATTAAGTCAAGCAGTCTGATTTTCGTGGTACAGTGCTGTACATTGGACATTCTAGAAAGACTATGGGCTGTTTACCAATCAGGTCAGCTGAATGAAGTAGCAGGGAGTTGTCTTGTGACTGAGAAAATCAGAAGAAAATTTGACATCGAGTCCTTAACTTTGAAAACAACTATTGACAAAGAGGACTACTTGGCATGCAGACGCTATTTTACAAAACACTTGCGTGAGTTGATTTCTTAAGTTGTTTTTCTTTTTTTGTAATTTTATTCATTTTACTGCTGCAAGCTTTAGAAAAACCACATCCACAGATGGCACAGGGCTTGAGAAAAGGGCCATTTAGTTGTCCGGGACAAGTAAATTTTCCTGCCAATCAAGTAACTTGTCTGTGCCTAAATTTATGCCGAGCTAAAGTTTTGATTTCCCACAACTGTGCAATAAGTTCTTAACCGTAAACTGCCAGATAAATGTTAAAGTACTTGCAAACCGACACTCAAAATTGGCTTAAACCACCAAACTGGCAGCTGAGTACAGTACATGTAAGTTAAATATTATTGAACATCTAAATTATTCTTCAATTCATGTAATCAGTTATCCCAGCTTACTTATTAACTGTTTATTGAAACTATAGTGAAGTTAGTGTTGTCACTTTTGTTGTCGAATTATTTTGTCCCTGTATGCAGAAGGTACCAAGTCTTACAGTGCAGGGCTTCGTGTTGTCTGTGGTCCCAGCTGGAATGTGGATGAAACTGATGGCAAAGAAGGTTTTGTTGGAACAGTTGTTGAACTCGGAGGGGATTCTTCCAGTGTACCAGATAACATGGCATTAGTTCAGTGGGACATAGGACTATGTCAGCTGTATAGAGCAGGACATGATGGCGCTTTTGATCTATGTGTGTTGGAAAGTTCTCCTGCGGGTAAGGCCATTTTTTGCATAAATAATTACATTGAGGGGATCTTGCGTGATAAAAACTTTTTAAAATTAAGATTAAATTATGTTAGAGTCAACATTCAGTTTTAGTTGTTGCAGCTGTAGTTTTTGTTGTTCTTGTTGCTGGTGTTGTTGTTTGCTGTGGGTTCGAGATAATTATGACATGGTTAAGCTCATGTCTATGATGGCCGTTCTAAATATCCAAAAACTAAGATTGTACCATTTGCTGTATTTTGGTGACATTGCTGTCTATATACATTACAGCCTCACTTTTAGTGAAAGTGTGATGAAATTAATGTCATGTTCACTGTCATCCTGCATCCTGCTACAGCAATGGGATCAGTAATGTATAAAGCATCAAGTATGTGTGTTAATAGTAACATTCAAACAAAGATAGTAAATGTTGAGGTCTTATGATACTGATTTGTGTTTCTTGGAACTTTTCAATGGGCTTGACTGTAAAGGTTATAACCTCTTGGGAATTGTTAGTAGTTTTACCTGACTTGGTATTGTTCATCATCATCAATGCAGGTGTAAAACATGTGGGTTTAGCTTGCGTTGCCTGCAAGCAGACTCCTATTTTAGGAACACGTTGGAGCTGTTTAGACTGCGAGGATCATGCAGTGAACCTATGTACATCATGTTACATGGCAGATGAGCATGACATACAACATGTCTTTCAGAGGAAAGATTCTCCAAGAGTCCATGGGTAAGTTACTACGTGATGCTTAGTAGCTACAACTAAACATCATTGCTTAGTCACTTTTTGATAAAACTTAGATATAATATAGAGTGTTTTGTTTCTGACAAAACAAAGTTCCGATAGTGCTACAGTTAAACGAGATGGGTTCAGACCACATACAGATGTACATATATTTCTCTTTATTGTTTTTGTAGTGACAATGGTAATACACATTTCTATAGAATACTACTCATAGTCAAGAGGAAAGTGAATGATAATATCATCATTCAAATACAGTCGATCCTCTCGTGAGCGATCACCCAAAATGTCAAGCCTATGTGGTCGGTTACGAGAGCTTTGACCATATTGGAAGGAAATTTTGTCTCATTAGCATATGGTAACTGCTGCGACCTGCCCCGTGTTTTAAATGTTTTATTCAAATGAAAAGTCAATTTTGAGAAAATTTTGTACTTCCCATTGAGAGATTTGCGTCTCTTGTACCATCCAGAAATGCGGAAATGTTACAACACCTTATTATCCAATTTCCGCTCTGTTATCTGTTAAATGATCGTTTACGTTAGGTTAGAAACAAAAGAAAATTTGGATCTTCTAGCTCTGAAAGTGGTCGCGGTCGCTTACGAGAGGTGGTCGCTAACAAGAGGTTCCAAATATAGTGATTTGACTTGGAAACTTTTGGGATTTTGGAAAACTTTCGCTTGCAAGAGGTGGTCGCAGCCGGAGGTTCGACTGTATAAGTACATTTTAGGAATGATTTTTAAAAATACGTGTATGTCACATATGGGAATGGGAGTGAAGACGATAGCTGAGCATCTTCCACCTCGTAACAGTAAGTGTCCCTAGCATTGTGATCTTGATCAAAATCAATCAGGTCTGAAGTATATTTTTATAGAATTGAAGCAGTCAGTTTTATTTTCAAAAGGTTTCATACCCTATATTTTGTTACATTGATGCAGAATTTCTGTTGGAAGAAGAAGCAAGGAAATTAAAATTTCAAGCAAGAGGCATTTATCCTGGTGCTAAAGTTACAAGAGGTCCAGACTGGGAATATGACAACCAAGATGGCGGAATAGGGACATTTGGTACCGTGAAGAAAATCATGAATTGGAAGGAAAACCCAGCAAGTGCCGCGACTGCCTCGTGGGAAAATGGTACTAAAGGTACTTACAGGCTTGGTTACCATGGCAAAGTAAGTACAGACTGTGATTGTTAATTTGATTTGATTTTTTCACATCAAACTTCCAGTCGTGAAATAAAGAGTTCAATATTCAAAGTAAGACTGGCTTATTGAGTTACTTGTATTTCTTGTGATTGATTATGTGTTTACAATGTACTTTTGTTTTGGTATGAACCCCCTCTAGCAGGACTAAGGTTGAAGCATAGGCCAGCTGTTGATATCATGTATGACGTAATTGCTTTTAGTACTAGTAGTAATCGTAGATTAAAGAGTGCGTTCGAGTTTTAGTAGGTTTGGTATGTTAAAAAGGCAAAAGTTCTAGGAGCAGCATTTCGTGCGTGAGCTCTTAGGTAGGCGTGAAATTGGCCTTCCTCCAGCAGGAGCGAAAACAAATGAATTGATCGCAAAGTACGTGCATACGAGAGGCTTTTCTGGTTTATACATGAAATCACATATTATTATATGGCTCTGTTTCACAAGGACTGGGAACTATCAAATTCACGAATTTGATTGGCTTAAATCGATATTGAAAGCGGTGTAGACTTTCCAATCTAGACCGGCATCCAGATCGGTAATGTTTTGCATTGAAAAAGTTGCAAACTAAAATGCAAGATCATTGATTATTTCATCTGACAATATTTATTTATGGAAGTGCCAAAAAGCCTGGTGAGCAAAAAATTAAAGAGGACAAGCAAATTTTGGCAGAATTAAATTCAGCTCATCACCGTTCGCAAGCAAAACGTCAGTTAGTACAAACCAGTTACATTAAACGAATTTAATTTTTCTTGTTTGCCATATAATAGACCACTTATTAACCGAGCTCAGTCGGTCTGTATGACAGAATCTTGACCTCGGTCGTGCGTACAGACCTCCCTGTGTTCGGTCTGTAGTCGCGACCTCGGTTAAGATTCTCCCATACAGACCGACTAAGCTCGGTTAATAAGCGCTAAATATTAGTTACGACCGGTCAATTAAAAAACACGGACTACAGTTGGTGGGCAGCATTTAGTCTGCAGTCCGCGTTTTATAAATGACTCTGTGTTTTATACCCAGTCCGTAATGCTTAGTCCGCGTTTTATACCTAAGTACGTGTTTTATACCAAGTTGGTAGTCCGCAGTCCATGTTTTGAACTGACTGTGTAAATCGACACAAACGATGCCTGTTCCGTCGGTATGCGAGACGACGTGCTTTTATTACCAAAACTAGGAGAATTATTCTGTTTACGAACGCGACTTTGAATCGCCTTGGCTTTGGGGGAACAGCTCCGGGGCATTTTCACTTCCAAAACAATGAAACGGAGGACATGTTGGTGTACCAAAGCAATCCTGTGGGAGTTTGAACTCTTTTCCTTTGTAAATAGTTTCGTTGGGTTTACATAATTTGCGTACAGAAATCTAGGCCAGCGAAGTGAAGCTGCACATTTCCTTTAATTTTATTCAGCAGAAAGCAGCGTTGGTTTTGGTCGAAGAGAAGAGGGTACACAACACGCAGCCAAACTACAGTTTTCTGTTCGTACGAAAAGTCGTACACATTTCGTGAAGACATGTGTGCAAGGTTTTCAAAATGAAAATGTCATTAACACTGACTTCCATCTTTAAATAAACAACGTATCCGCTACAGTCCACAATAAGCTACCTCGACACTCGAAAGTCCGCAATATTGCACAACACTCGAAAGAAAGCACGTGGATGAACGTGGAAATGACGTCATTCGCCCCCGAAGAATTTTTTTTTTGGGGGGGGGGGGGCAAATTGGTGTCCATAGAAAGATACATGCACAAAAACTCACATTTTTCCGCATTACCCAATTAGAACTGCGTTCTCTCGAACGGAAAAGCACGTAATTTGTATTAAATGATGAATTGTATCATACCTCTTATTTTAAATAACATTATTTTTGTTGCATCGTAGGTGGATTTGAAGTGTGTAACTGCAAACAGTGGTGGTTATTACTACAAAGGTCACCTTCCAAGTCTAGGCCAAAAGGTCAGAAATTCATCTCAAACATGGATAACATTTAAAACCAAGGAAGACCTTCCTAGCTTTAAGTGCAAGCCTTGACCACATGTATTAAGC